TCACGTCGTTCTGGTCGGGAAGACACGTCCACTGGTGCAGGTACTGCTTGTAGTCGATGTCACTGACCAGTGCCTGGCACTCCTTGGCCGCCTGCACCGACAGGGCATCCACGGGGATGTGGATCTGGGTCTTGGAGTCGTGGTAGGCCTTCCTGTAGAGGCGGTCATTCTGCAGCGCCATGGCCCGCGCCGCCAACGCAAGCCTGGGGTCGTCCTTGGCGCTGGGGCACCCGATGTAGTGCCCCTTCTGCTTCTCGTGGGTCTCTTTGTACTTGTACTGCAAGGGCAGAGGTGACACGAGCAGTCACTCATTGCTCACCCGCACAGGGCACCAAACAGAAGGGTCTGCAGCTTCCCCAGCTCTCGGCCCCTCGAGATGAACCTCGCTCCGAGCTGCTGAGCTGGACACAGGGACAGACACCACCCCCATGCCAGGAGAGGACTGTACCTCACTGCAGATGTCCCTGGAGGCCTTGGCTTGTTTGATGGGAATGGCATCAGCTCTTATGTCGTAGCTCTTTGCCTTGGCCTCATCCCAGGCCTTCTGATAATGTTTCTGCAAAGGAAATAATTCACCTTTGTTAAACACAGCAAAGTCTCTATGATACAAATTCCTTCCCTTGAAAGCTACTTCCCTGGGAATTACTCTGTTTGCCCCCTGTAACGGGCAGGGTTACAATAATGATCCTGGCAAAGGTCTTAAGAGAAAACTCAAGACTTAAAATAGGTGCAAGATCCAAAACAGAAAGAGGTAGCAGGAATATTCCCCAAAACATCTCACTGTGTCCCCTGTAAGAGACCTGTGTATGATCCAGAGGCTCTGCTCACACACACCTGATTGCAGGGTCACAGAAACATCTGTTCTACTGACAAAACAGACCTAGACTGGCCTGAAGTTCTGAAGCCTCCTGACAGCTGCCAGGGACTTCTTTGTTTCCCAGCTTTTTAGTCCTATCGAGAAAGGGAGTGCAGGCAGACAGACTCAGTCCATTTTTGAGACTGAACAGAACCCAAAGTGCCTTCATGTATCTAGAGACACTCAGCTTGTCCAGGACACCAAGCCCAGGAACATGAGGGCTCCTTCTTTGTGCCATCTCAGTCACAGAAGCTCGGCCAGGCCTTCTGGCAACTCTGTCATTAGCACAGGTGGGTATTTTTATTTTTAACGTCTGTGAAAATTCAGAAACCAAATGCTATTGCAAACCAGACTATAAGGAACTCTAAAAAAACCCCAGTTATCAAAGCACAAGCAAGACAAAAACAGGGGAAGTGAAATGTCTTTTGCAATAGCACTTGAAATATTTCATGCCTCATCCAGTCACATCAGGTGCTTTTGGAAAATGTTTAATACCATCAACAGCAAGAAAGGCCGGGAGGAAATACATGTTCCAGGCAAAGCTCCTGTCAAGTCCTGCTAGAAATGCAAAATGGGAAATGTTTCCAGCTGTACAAAATCTGCAGTGTGTAAGTCCCATAAAACTAGTGGGTGAAACAACACAAGTCTGCAAAACCTGTCAGGGCTGAGGAGTCTGCAGACTCCAAAAGCTCTTCACGGAAATTATTTGGGAGGTTGTGCCAAAGGGGTTGCACCACTGAACTTTGGAGTTTGCTCACCAACTCACAACCTCTCAGCGTAAAGAGCACCTGGATCTAATTTCCTGTTCACAAGCACATTAGAAGATGGTGTTTGTGCACCACCATTTACAGCAAAACCTAAAAGACACAGGCCAAAACACAAAGAACGATTGTTGTTAATTTTCTAACACTTCACAAGCATTTCATTTAACTCTCTTACATTGCTGATGTTGAGAGCGTTGACTTTGGACTGCAGCATCACAGGAGTGTCAGAAGGCACAGAGATCTGGGTCTTGTCCTTGTCCCAGGCCTCACGATAGAGACGCTGAGGAGAAAGGAAGAACAATGGCTTTTCACTAGGGGGGAAAAAACCCCGATGGGAATTCTTGGGTAATTCCAGTGACTGATTTCCAATTCTACTGCCCACCACAAAGACAAGAAATGTGCAAGGTGAGCTTACATCACTGAGCTGCATGGCGTTGGTCTTGGCCAGGACAACGTCCAGGGAGTCGGTGATGCTGGTGAACTTGAGCTGCTCGGGCCGCGTGCGGTACAAGCGGTCACTGAGCAGCTCCTGCGCCTTCTTGGCTTTCACCACCTCCACAGACCCTTCTGTCAGCCAGCCAATGCCTCTCAGCCATTCCAGGTCGGACTTGTACACGTTCTGCAAACGAACCGAGGGTTACTGGTGCTGCACAGATGACTCTTTGCCCAGAAGGGTTGTGGATTCTCCATCCCTGGAGATGTTCAGAACCAGGGTGGATGAGGCTCTGAGTAACCTGTTCTAGTGGAAGGTGTCCCTGCTCTTGAGGGCTGGACTGAGATGATCTTCAAGGTCCCTTCCAACTCAAACCATTCTGTGGTTCTAACTCTTTGTGCAGGGACTTCCCATAAAGCTTTCCCCAAATTCCTTCTCACACAGTTACACAGCAAACAGCCAATGGCACTGTGATGTACCAGGTGCTTTCCACACACAGCTAAACCCCTGATTTTCACAGAAACAAAGATGCTTTGAAGACACCTGTTACATACAAACCAAGGGCATAATCTGCAAGTAGGCTGCAAGCAAACACTCTGTAGCAGCCCAAGAAAACACAGCCTCCTTATGAACCACCCAGGATATTACTGGCCCCCAGGCTGAAAGCACTGCTGATTTGGAAAGGACAAAATAAACACAGCAGGACAGGCTGCAGGCTCATGAATGTGCATTTGAGAGGATATTTGGTCAGTCAGTATGAAACAGAACCACAGACATAGAGCTTTCCCAAAGTTATCCCCACTCACGTCGCTCTGCAGGTCGTAGGCCTGCCGCGCGTGGATCACGTCGTTCTGGTCGGGAAGACACGTCCACTGGTGCAGGTACTGCTTGTAGTCGATGTCACTGACCAGTGCCTGGCACTCCTTGGCCGCCTGCACCGACAGGGCATCCACGGGGATGTGGATCTGGGTCTTGGAGTCGTGGTAGGCCTTCCTGTAG